GACCCTTTCACAGGGGTCGCCTAAGACCATCGGAAAACACATATATAATTACATATTGTTTTTGTGATTAATCACTATGCTTTAATTATGTTCAATTTGTAACAATGAAAATACATCCTGCATATCAGATATTTACATTACGATTCATAACAGTAGCAAAATTACAGTTATGAAGTAGCAACGAAAATAATTTTATGGTTGGGGGTCACCACAACATGAGGAACTGTATTAAAGGGTCGTGGCATTAGGAAGGTTGAGAACCACTGCTCTAGTGTCTTTCAAACTTTTGATCACAACCCACAATAAGAAATACATTTTACATCCGGGGCCAGTACACACCAGAAAAAGTCAGACCTATAAAATCTACACAAAAGTTCCTCAAAACATCTACCCTTACTACATGTGATAGACTGATCTTCTCCATTCTAATCCACCCTTTTTTTTTTTTTTAATGCTGGTGACACAACTATTAGGTCACAATTCACAGTTTGAAATACTTAGTAGATAAGATACATCTCTGATACATCTCTCTAAGTGGCAACATGAGACAGTGGCTACGAGTTCTGCCTTTAGGCTGCCTGCATTCAATCACCAGCTCTACATGAAGCTGTCAACTTCTCTGCCTCAGTTTCCCTGGCAGGGGTGTAAAAGAACAGTGCTACCTCAAAACTGAGCATCAACCAAGACTACCAACAAAAAGCACTTACAGCATAAAAAGTATTCAGTTAATGGCTATTAGTAATTCTTACATAGTCTGTAGACTTTTCACTGTGGTAGAATGTAAATATAATCCATCATTTTAACCATTTAAAATGTACAATTCAGTGGTATTGCATCCATCACCACTTTTGCATGTTGTGCAACCATCACCACTCTCTAGTCCCAGAACTTTTAACACCCCAAACAAAAACTCATACCCCTTCCACCCTCCTCCCCAGGCCCTGGCAACCCCTAATCTGCTTTCTGTCTCTAGGTCCATAGACTTTTTAAATAATAAAGTAACATTTGACTAGAACAGTTTTCTAATGTAGAATGAAGTGTCCTTTGGAATCATTAGTCCTGTGGTTCATGAGACAAACTTCTGCTAACCATTTCTTAGGAAAACCTTGTGAGCCACATTAGGCAAATTCTGGGACCTGTCTGGGGGTCAGAATCCCCTCCCTCCTGTGAATCCTGTTAGGGCAAGATTCCCAAAGCCTGGCCAGTGCAGGGAGGAGAGGGCTGTCAGTGCCCACAGGAGGCAGAACGAGCAAGTCTCATCCATGAAGATGTTTCTTCATTATGTCGTGGTATTTCACCAAAGGATAGTATATTCATGAAATAAGGAATGGTTATTCTTCAGTCTTTGCATTTTGAAGTTCTACTTTCGAAGCTCTAAACTTTTACCGTGAAGGGGTAAAAATGTGAACTTGGACACATTTCTTGGCTTTAGGATATAATAGCATTTCCTTTTGGGGCCCCACCCTTCTCTCACTCTGATTTGTCACCCTTCCTTTGGGTGTGGAAACGACAAAAATAACTTTCTTCTTCCCAGGACCTGCTCAGGCAGCTGCCAGATAGATACTCCATCCTGGAAGTAACAGTGGCAAAGCGGCAGTGTTACTCTGAGAGGTTGTTAAGCAGAAGGCTTCTTAGGCCAAAGAAATAAATGTCACCATGAGGCACCAAAGATGTGAACTACAGAATACCCTTTAGTCCCAGGTGTATGTCAGAAGCTTTTTGTCCTCTCTCTCTCTCCCTCTCTCTCTCATACCAACACCACTCACCCAGCAAATAGGCAGCAAAGTCCTCGGTCATTTTCCACTCCCTCTCCACCCGCCATCGCCCTGCTTTTCCTGGGTGAAAGCCTGACCCTGAGTGATAGCACTGGGCCAACCTGGCTTTTTGGGGAGGGGGGGCGGGGAGAGAGGGAGAGAGGGAGAGAGAGAGAGAGAGAGAGAGAGAGAGAGAGAGAGAGAGAGAGGTGTGGGGAGGCTGGGAGCAGGTGACAGAAGGATTCAACTCCATGTCCCAGAGTTCAGCAAACATCCCTGACTCCCAGAGAGTCACTTTATTGCTTTCTAGGAAAATGGAGAGAAAAGGTTTAAGTAGCAAACAAGCCCCAGAAACCTCACACCTCAAACTCCAGGCAGCCTGTGCCCAGAACTGTACCAAATTCTGGAAGAGTCCTGAGCCAGAGTGAACTTGGTGCGGACCAAAGAGAATTACAACTTTCCGAAGACCCAGTGCCTGGCAAGTCAGCGAGAGTGAAGGTCCCCGAGTTTGCGGTGCAGGCTCACCCCGAGCACCCCC